CTTAACTACTACTAACGTAACGTAAAACGTAACGGACGACGTACGTGAGTAGTACGTAGTACGTAACTAAACTAACTTATTATTCGTCCATATATATATATATATATATATATATATATATATATATATATTCATGAGCTTTACCCCAAGGGAGCAAATTCACAGTATGCTCTCGTAAGAGCAACAAATTTTTTAGCTTTTCTTTTGACGGTCATCATCACGGCCTCATCCCAATTATTTGAGTTGAGCTACACAAATCATGTTATGCTATTATGCTCTACCAAGGATCATACAATTAGTAAGACCTAAATCCCTATATATTTTATACTACTTTCATCAATGTCCTTTGGGGCATCCCCTTGCCCTTTTAGCATTTTCCACTTGAACCAAATCGTACTTCCTAACCATGCTATATTGGATCTGCATTGCACATGGCCAGCCCACCTAAGTCTAATTTCTCTCATCTTTTTGCCTAATGGAGCCACTCCTAAATCCCTTGCATATATTTGTTATGTATTCTATCTTTTCTTATCTTGTCACTCATCCATCTTGTGGATCCATGAATACTTATTTTTTGGGCAAGTGGGATGGTCTACATAATATGTTATAAAATATACTATTTTTACGGCTTAAAATCCAAATTTTTTTCACAACCATAAATGGTCAAAGCCAAAATGATTGATTTGAAGGTTTCCCAATGCTAGAATTGTAATTTTTGGTGAGTTTTGACGCAAGACTTTACTTATTTTGATAGGTATGCAGCCCTATCGAAACATTTTCCTATTTTTATATCAAACAATTAATTAAAACAACTTTTAAAACATTTTAAATTTGGTTTCAGATTATTTTCCATTCCACTGTTGCTTTTATCTCTCAACAGCATCTCACTAAATATAATTTCCCTTGAGAACCATCGAAGTACTAATATAGCTTATAATTTGATCAAAAATTTTATTTTGGGTAAAGTCCATGAGAGAGAAGGCCCCTTACCCATTTTTTATTAATATTTTAAAATAAATATGATTATAGCCTAATTTTTTAAAAACCCTAGAATGAGGCACCTGTGACAAATTATGAAGTAAAGCACGGAAAATACAGTCCCGCAGACGAGTACACCAAACAATAATTTGTAAACGAGATGTGGCCCTCTTTGCAAGAATATCAGCCACCATGTTGGCCTCACGAAAAATGTGAATGATGAACCTGCTATTTAGATTTGGGTGGGTGTGGTTCATGAAATTTTGGTTCGAAAACTAATGTGATGATCTAAAAATCTTTTTTACCCTTATTTATGAAATTTAAATCTCTTAAAATAATGCATAAAAATCTATTTTCACTCATAACTATAGAATTTGAAGCTGAAAAAATAATGCAAATCTAGTAGAACTAAAAACACTTAAAAATCTTGAAAATGGATATTGGATAGTCCAGATAATGTGTTATAAAATACATTATTTTCAAGACTTGAAATCTATTTTTTTTTCATATCAATATGTCTCGAGTTCGGGATGATCGAATAAATAGTTTTCCAGCATCATAATAACTTTTTATAATATATTTTTGAGATGTGCCCTACTTCAATAGTATAAAATTGACACACTATGTAAACATTTTATTTTTTATTTTATTGCCATAGGTCTTTTTGTATCATAACATATATAATACCGTTTTTCTACCTTGTGGAGACGTTGCCATTACATGCATCGACTATACTTTCAAACCTTGATCATTATGATAAATATTTCATAATTAAACGCAGGGGCAGAAGAGTCTTAAAAAAATAATTGTAAATTATTATCTTTTACTTATTTTTCATCAAATCGGTAGAAGCCAGTCATCCCCACTTATTCACCCCCACTAAAAAAAAGAAAAAAAAAGCATGAGAGTGTTAGGCTAGAAACTAATGAAATTATAAAAAATATATTTTAAAAATTAAAAAACACCATACTTTTTAATATGTCCGTACCCAATATTTTTTTTATTTAACCCAAAATACCCTTCACGGTACTGAACAGTTTTGGTTTTTTAAAAAGAAATCAACTCAAAACTTCAAGTTTTCTAGCTGATGTCACTCAACAAATAGGCATTGAACCAAAACTCAGATGTTCATAACCCATGCGGAAAGAACCTCTTTCTTTTCATTTCTAATGGCACAGAATTGTAAGCCTAATTTCCACCGATACCAATCCCAAACAAGTCTTAACCATTCATGCACCCGAGGCAGTTGAATTAACTTGATCCAATATAACACTGATAGAATGTGTGAGTTAGTTCAAGTGGAAGGGTTGAAAAAGACAAAGGTAGAGCAAAAAAGACATGGTGGGAAGCAATACGAAAATATATAAGGACTTATGGCCTCACTGAGGGTATGGTCATAATAGAGCAGAATGGAGAACCGAAATTCGTCTAGCCGACCTAATTAATTGAAAAAAAATTATGATGATGATGATGATGATTTGGAATTATGCAAGTCAATATCTTATTTTCATTCACTCCCCCGTTCTTTTTTGTGACATGGATTCCAACTTAAAACTTACAAGAGTCAAAATCTTATTCTCCTTGCTAGTTTACTACAATCAAAAGTTTGCTCCGAGACCATATGTAAGGAAGTCACAATCATTTATAGTAATATGAAATCCAATAGATTGAAGTGTGTCACAACATTTGAAAATTTTTATTTTAGTTATTGTGCCAATCAATGAAACATCTTCAACAACCCAATTTCACATTCAAAAGTCAACAATAGTTGTAACTCATTGTGTAGAAAATAAATAGTCTCATTGCATATATTTCCTAATAAAAATTAGGTCCAATCTTTTGTTTTCTTGTGATGTTAACGGTTGTGATACATAACATAACATGACATCTTTAGATCTATTTCTATGATGGGCAAGGGATCCTTTCTCCTCTGAACTAACCAAACAAAAAAGAGACTGTGGTACAAGGCACATAAATGTAAATTTTAATTCTTAAAAACTCGCTCGCAACGCTAAACTTTAAGAAATGGAAAAATGTCTACAAGCCAATTGGCTTCTTTGTTGAATGAGAAAACACTATCAGATGAAACAACATAATAAAAGAAATTAGGGATCCGGATTTTGGGGAATTTTTTAACACAAAATAAAAAACACTCAATTTCTCTTTCATTTTCTTACGAAATTTATTCGAATTTGTGCCGAAATGTTTCTCACATTAGTCTACAAAGCTATCACAATTTTTTTGAATCAAAATAAAAACTTTATATAAGATCTTCTTATTTTTTGGAATTTTTGACCTATTTTTTTCATTTTTTTTCAAAATTGTCCAGCTTAGACCGATTACTGACGGGTTCCAACCACTAGTCCGTTTTTCAAAACATTGATCGATATACGGGAGCTTCCGAACCTAAAATTTGCCATCCATCTAAAACATCAACACTGTGTTCAACTTTGATTATAGAAATTTAGAAATGAGTACGGTTCATACGAGGCATCAGCACAATTTTAGACAATCAAAGAGTGATGACCTGATTTAATGTCTTTCAAACTTAAAGCTCCAAAAATGGTGCTCACCAATCTGATCCACACACATTCCAAGTTTTCTTAAAATTGATGGTCACAAGATGAACTACTCGAAATTTTTTCTGTCTTAATCTATGGCTCCAAAAATGGTGCTCACCAATCTGATCCACATACATTTCAAATTTTCTAAAAATAGATAGTTACAAGATGAACTACTCGAAATTTTTTCTTTCTTAATCTATGAATCTTGAGGTTGGGATGATTGACTTAAAGATCGAAATAACTTTTTCCAGCCCAATGAAACACACCCTCTTCCCAAGACCACCCAGCCCCATGCATCTACAGGCAGATAGATGTGCAGGCCACGCCACTCTCAAATCTCTAACTAATGCTCAGAAGAAGAAGAAATTAAAAGTCTTTAGAAGCTGGCTGCTGCCTCCTCAGTAGTGAGAGAAGGAGAGATGGAGTTCCTGGAGTCGTCCCAGTCATCCCCCATCACTGGCGATGGCTCCACCCTCAAATCCTCGATCATCTTCACCACCTCCCTCATCTCCGGCCGCTGCTCTGCCTGCGCTGCCACGCATGCCAGCGCTGCCTGCAGCATCGCCACCAGCTCCTCCTCTATGTTCTTGTATCTCAGCAGCTCCACATCGAACACTTCCGCTGTCCACTCCTCCCTCACCACTGACTGCACCCACTTTGGCAGGTCCACCCCCTCCTGTGCCTGGTGCTGCGCCGGGGCCTTGCCCGTCAGCACCTCGAGCAACATGACGCCGAAGCTGTAGACATCCGCCTTTTGGGAGAGCCTGTTGCGGTCCCCATGCTGTTGCTCGGGTGCCCGGTACCCGCCCAGGCGGGCTGTCGCATGTGCAGGGCTGAGAAGGAGGGAAAGGCCAAAGTCAGAGATGCAGGCCGTGCCATTCTTGTCTAGGAGCACGTTCGACGACTTGATGTTGCCGTGGGGGATCTTGGACGCGCTGTACTCCTCATGGATGCGGGCTAGGCCCCTCGCCGCCCCGAGCACCAGCCCTATCCTTGTCGTCCAGTCGAGTGGCGTCCTTCCGCCCCCTCGGTTTCCTGATTAAATGCATATAAGTTCAACAAAATTTACTGTTCTCTCTGGTTAATGAATCAATCAGAACTAGTGTAGGAAAAAATCGAACCATAACCGTTAACCAGACATTGCCCAGAAGAGATTAAACTGGCCTAACGGGTAAACCGGCCAGTTCAACCGTTCTAACCAAGCAAGTTTCCGGCAGCCAAAAAAGTGTTAAAAAATAAATAAAATACTAAAAAGTTTAATAAAATATAAAAAATATATTTAAAGAATGATTAAACAAAACATATCCAAATAAAAATAATTAATGAAAACATAGATTTTAAATAATCTATTTGTGATCACGGAGTATTTTTGAAATTTTTCAAAAAAGATAAAAAAATGTAAAAATAAGTATCAAGGCCAATAGTTGCCATTAAAACACTAAAAATACGTTATAAACAAAATCTCTTATTTATTTACTTTTTGGATCTTATATGTTTTTTTTTAAATACCCTTCTGGTTACCAAAACCAGTTCAAACCGGTACAGGCCAGTTCCAATCTAACTGAGCCGTTACCTGGTTGAACCGCCGGACACTTCAGGCAATGATCAGAACTGATTTTTGCTCAGAGACAGAGAGAGGACAGTTAAAAAATGGACAAATTAAAACTCAATGAAATACAGAGTGGAATCATGGTTTAAAAAGAAAAAACCAGAGATTACAGGTTGTGTTACCATGGAGGAGAGAATAGAGGGATCCATTAGGGAGATGGTCATAGACGAGGAGCTTCTCCTCCTTTGCATAGTAATAAGCCCTGAGACGAACAATGTTGGGGTGCCTCAGCCGTCCTATCATGTCCATGTACTGATCAAACTCCTTCCTGGCGGAGGGGCTTGCGTCCTTGAGCCGCTTCACCGCCACCACTGACCCGTCTTCAAGAATGGCTTTGTACACAGTCCCCAGGCTCCCCTTCCCCAGCATCTCCGCCGAAGCCCTCAGCAAATCCTCCAGCTCGAATTGCTTCCTTCTCTCAAAGAACACCAGCTTGCTCCTCTCCATGTCTGGTCCCGGCGATCCATCGTCGAAGGCGTCCTTTTTCCCTGCCGCAGCCTCCTTTTGTCGCTCCCCTCTCTCTTGGGAGTACCTCCCCCAGTAGCAGGCGGCGAAAAGCAGCATCACAAGCAACAGGATCATGGTGTCGCCCACTACAATGGCCACCACCGCGCCGGTGCTCAGCCCGCCCCTCGACCTCCCCCGTCCGCTCTGTGAGGCAGCAGCACCACCCATGGAGCCAGGGCCCGAGCTCAGGTTCGACGGCACGACTTGGGGTGACGGTGCCGCCGCGGTGAAAGAGCAGAGAGGGAAAGGGCTCTCCCCACAGAGCCCAGCATTGCCCAAGAACGAGCTCGCCCCGTACTTTCTCTGCAACTCTCGCGATAACTCGCCATAAAATTCATTGTTCGAGAGGTTCAGCTGCTTGAGCTGGGACAGCGAAGAGAGATCAGCAGGAAGCAACCCAGAAAGCAAGTTGTTCTGCAACCGCAAGGTCATGAGGCGGGTAAGCCCCGCCATGGATTTGGGAATGGGGCCTTTTAAATTGTTGTTTGAGAGATCGAGCCTGAGGAGCCTGCTCAGCCTGGAGATCTCACTCGGAATCTCACCTGTAAAATCGTTTCCATTCAAATAAACCAGTTTCAAATTAGGGCACGAGGCAAGTGGAGCAAGGGTGCCATTGAGGCGGTTGCCCTGGAGGTCGAGGAGGCGGAGCTGATCGAGCACAGAGAGGGACTCGATTGGGCCTCTGAGATCAAAAGAAGAGAGAGAAAGGCTGACTACTCGACCGTCTTCGTCGCATCGAACGCCAATCCAGTGGCGGGCGCAGGCGTCACCAGCAGCGGCAGTCCAGTTGGCGAGGAGGTTGCCATGGGTGTCTGCCCGAAGCCTGAAACTGGTAAGAGCGGCCGTGTCCGCTTCCGAGTCCGACTCAGCGGTTTGACACAAGAGGAGGCTCACTAAAACAAAGAGGAAGAGGGCCATGGAAACTGTGAGATTGATAGATCAAAGGTTTACAGTTTTTACAGAGAGTAATACGAGAGGAAGAGCGACATGGAAGGGTGAGTGAAGGGGTTTTACAGTTCTAGAGAGAGAGAAAAAGGAGCAATGAGTTTAGAGAGAGAGAGGAGGGGGTTATGATTCAAAACGCACATTAGTTCATGATGGGGAAGAAGGAATCGAAATCATGCTTGTTTGTTTGTTGGTTTGATGGTCCCGCACCCTTCCTTTTTCTACTGTATAAAGTCTTTGAAACGGAAGAGACCACTTCAGATCACATATTCAAATCCCATTCATTGCGAGCCCCCACTAACGCACACTCCCTTGAAAAGCGCGCTCACTTTATCCACAAATCTCGCTCCAAAAGCGGTGTTGGTGTATACTATTACTATTCGAACAAGAGAGAGAGGGAACCCTAAAAAATATGAGGTGCATACTATTTGAACAAAAGAGAGAGGGAATAAAAATATGATTTCAAAACTCAGATCGGTGGATGGGTCGTTCGCTCTCACATTACATTTGTGTTCAATCGCTGGATTGGTGATCTAGATTCGAAAGTATATATCTTCCCTACAAAAAAAACTATATATACCTTTCTCGAAGAAAAACAAATGATATATGAGATTTAAGGGAACAAATAGGCTGGGACCATATTATCCCTAAACCAGTTCAGTATTGACTGATTCCCATGTAGTTCGATGACCCGGATCGGAATTCACCTTGTTTTGAAATACTCACAAATTCCAACATTAAAAGGACACGCGAGTGTGGAATGGTGAGAATGCCGCAACTACAAAACGAAAAGGTAGTTCCGGATAGGGGCAGTAGTTCAAAAATGGCACGCGCGTCCAATTTCAAATTTCGTGGTTCCGGATATACGGCGCATGTTTCTGCAGGACCAAGCTGTATACTTGCTTCCTCCAATAATATTTTCTCCATCTTAAATTTTGTATCCGCTAATCACATATTATTTCCCTAAATGAAGTATCACATCTTAGAATGCTAGTCTCATATAAACCACATATTACTCTTCATTTTTTATTTTTGTCATGCTAAGGATATTTTGTTATCACAATTTGAGATATGTCAGATTGCTAGATTGAGGAACCAAATTGGGTATGGATTATTCCAAAAAGATGATATAGGATAATGCTAAAAAAACAAAAAAAAATTTGTAACGATTTATAGGGTAGGGATATGGAGGGGAACTAAATAATTTGAAATGAACACATTCGATAAAATTTAAGTGTGGCACCAATAGACGATAAGATGAGAGAGAGTAGACTTAAGTGGTATGACCATGTTTGGTGCAGACCCAGTATAACACTGTTAGGAGGTGCCAGGTGCTTCAAGTAGAAGGCTCAAAAAGAACAAAGAGTAGGCACAAAGGTATGGTTGGAAGTAGTGAGAAAATATATGGGGGGCTCATGACATCATTGAAGGTATAGCGCTTAATAAAACAGAAAGGCATACCAAGATTTATGCAGCCGACCCTAATTAATTGGAAAAATATTTGATGGTGTTGAAATAAATTTACGAAAGCGAAAAAATATATAAATGATATTTTAGGGAAAATCAGTTCGGGACCGATACTATTTTCGAACCAATTCAATCCTAACTGATTTCCAACTAAATCATCAATCTGGGTAAAAAATAGCCGGATATTGAAACACTAGTTTTATCCAAGAGCATATATATATATATATATATATATATATTATTTTGGCTCTTGGAATTCTAGAGATTGGATGTGCTTTGTCTTTGACTAGACAGAGGGAGAGGGGCTAGGGATATATAACATGATACTTTACTTGGACAAAAACCATAGTAAATTTATAGAAAGTGATGGAAATCATTTCATAAAGTGAGACTACAACCCCATGCTTATCATGCCTAATGAAAAAGATAGTCAAACTTAACAGTGATATAAAATAAACTTAAAATCCCAGGCCAGTTGTCCAAAATGATACTACGTAATGAGGAAGAAATTAAAAGGAAAAAGTTTATGTAAGTGTCAACCTTACAATGACTTAAAAAATCCATTGGAGAAGGTTTTTTCTACATTGTAAAACCTTCAAATCCATCATCTCTCCCTCGAGATTCATAAATATAAAAAAAAATAGATGATTTTTAGTCCTAAAAATAGTCCGTCTTCTAACATACTATTTGAATCGTCTATTTTTAAGTGTTTATAGATCTATTTGATCATCACCATTTTTAAAACATTAAATTTCATAATTAGAAGCAACAATAAATTTTCATATTTGTACCAGATTTTACAGCATCAAAATTTTATTTTCAATATAATTTTGAGGTGCACCTTACTTCAATAGTATAAGGTTGACACCTAACCCAAATTAAAAAGATGGGAGTTGAAAATGGACCAAAAGTTTGGTTGGGTCACTTTCTTCTTCGTAAATGAAAAAGACTTCATTTTCTCTTTCCATTTTAAAAGAGAACCTCCATTTTATTATACTTATTAAAATTATATTTTATTATTACCCTTGAATTATATTTTCTTCTATTGGATTGGGTGCGTCGAATGCAAGTAACACTCGATGATGAAGTAAACAACAACCCTAAATACTCATATTTTTTTGTTAACCAAATAACTCATATTTATAGGATTTTGGTTTGGCCTCGGGCCCCGTAAATTTGACCAAATCCACCCCTTACTTATACTGGCGAAATTTATTAGAAGTTGAGATTTGTATAAAGTGCCCACCTTATAATATACATGTAAGGTATATCTCTATATTTTGGCAGATGTAGTGTCGAGAACCTTATATGGTGGTTTGAAAATCCATATTCAACCTTAATTATAAAATTTAAAATTTGAAAAGTAGCGTCGATTGAACGGATTGGTATATATTTTTGAAAAATTTACGTACACACCATATTGAGGGGGTTAACTACAAAATGAGATCACGTTTGTCCCAAATTACAGGCGGCACCCCCCCTTGCGGGTTTTTTCTTTCTTTTCAGGTTACCCCTTTGTCCGGTAATGTGAACACCAGACAGGTACGGTTTATACCATGCAAAACAAAACAGTTGTCCGGTGTTTGAAATACCGAACAATTATCTATTATCCCCAAAACGAGCAAGCACTCTCTCTCCAAATATCGTAAACCCTTCTGTATCCCCTCAAACCATCTCTCTCTCCCATAACCCATCTCCCCCCCTAATCAATGTCATGGTATGAACACCGAGAAACCTAGGGTATGGCTTCGATCTTCACAGACTCGAGCCTGATGTGCTGCTTAGACTTTCTTTTGTTCATCATTGGGGCATTCTCTTCCTCTCTCTAGACTTTATTTGGGCATAAAAAGAATTTATTGGGTGTTTTCTTGTGCGAGTGCTCTCTCTCTATGGATGCAATTGTTCCATCTTTTGTTCATTAGGGAGAGAGATGTTTTACGGGAGAGAGATGTATTCATCCCTTCTTATGTTCATTATTTGAGCATTCTCTTTCTCTCTCTAGATATTATTTGGGCATGACAAGAATTTCTTGGGTGTTTTTTATGTGCAGGTGCTCTCTCTCAACTGTTATTTCTTTTGCTCATTAGGGATAGAGATAGGTTATAGGAGAGAGAGAGCGAGAGAGAATATTTGAGAGAGAGAAGGGTTCACGATATATGGAGAGAGAGATGTCTTGTTGGTTTTGGGATAGCAGATAACTGTCTGGTATTTTAAACATCAGACAATTGTTTTGTTTTGCACGGTATAAACCTTGCCTCTCCGGTATTCGTACTACCGGACATAAGGGTAGGTAATAGAAACAAAATTCCAAATCTCCAGTTTTTGGAAAGGTCATAGTAGTAATATTGCTCTTTCCTTTTGAGAGAAGAATGTAACAAGATAGGCAAGTGTATATTGCATGTAACAAGATAAGAAAATGTATATTACACCATTGTATTATAAAAATTCCTTTCTCTCTCTAAAAATCTTTATGGTATTAGAGCGATTATTGATCCCAATCTCAACTTCAATTTTAGTTGTTCTTTTATTAAAGGAAAGTCTCTCTCTCTCAAAACAATAAACTCTTCCTTCCATTGTTACACATTTTTCTTTGCAAATTTCTCATCCTTCTTTGCAAACCTTTTAAACACGTTGCAAAGCAAGAAATTTGCAAAGCTTCTGTAAAATACCTGTTGGAAATATGTCCTATTGGACAATTTTATTCCAGAAATTTATTTTTTTAATAATGGTACAAAAGCCATTTTGTATAATATATGTGAAATCCCATGTGGTTAACATGATGTAATGCCATATACTAGGATCCATTTTGGAGCTTTTATAGGATGTTGTACCGGAGGGAAAACCAGTAATGTGTTTGAATTCTTTGTAAGAATTATTTTTTTATTATAGATGTATAAAATTATTTAATTTCTAAATATTTTTTATCAAATTGTTTGAATGATTGGATGACATTCTATTATAGATGTGTCATTAGTGCACTAATGACAGATTTAGTTCATTGTATGGGATTAACAGTTTGGTGACAACTTGTTAATCCTAATTGGCTGCATTTAAAGGAATTAAGGCAGGAGTTATACTTGGATCTCAACTCCTATAGACCATGAATGTAAGAGTTATAAAATATGGTTCTCTATAAAAAGATGTTAACCCCTCAAGTTAAATAAAAAGAATGATAGAAAAGAGGTGAATGAGATTCATCAAAGAGGATGACTCTCAAGGTTGCCTGTCACCGGATGCCTTGGTCTATAGGATTTGGTATGGAACCTTAGGTCCCTCGTCTGATTTAAGGACAGATCCGAGTAAGTTATTTGTCAATTTTTATTTATTTATTTTATTAGAATTAACAATATCATCATCTTCATTTACCATCATCTTTAATCGTTAAGCCATACCTTTCTTCATCTTCCATTACCTTCATATTTATTTCTCACGTTTTGTTTTGTTTTGTTTTCACTTTAGCCATCCAAAACCTACTCTCTAACCTTTGTTTTTTGCGCCTCTCTGAGCTCATCAAGTTATTCCCAAATATTTATTTGTTCCAATGAATATTACAGTCACAAGGTCCCAATATCCCTATCCCTCCACCCTTAATATCGGAAACTTTGTGTCTATTAAGTTGACACATAACAACTATGTATTACGGGAAACTCAAACGCTCTCTCTCTCATTGAGAATCAGGAACTTTTTGAATTCATTAATGGTGATTGCCCTACACCAAG